CCCACACCTCTCTCGCCTCTGCTTGAGCATACTACTGCTCCAGCTGCCGCAGAGGTGTACCCCAACTGCTGCCCCATCAGTTTCAACAGCTGCCTTTCCTCTGGGTCCCAGGCTTTTTATTTGTTCCCAAACACCCCACTTACTGAGCTCTTTAAATACAAAATCCCCAGAGAAGGTAAAGCTATGAGGTATAAGAATTACAAGAAAACTGTGCCCCAGCGCAGGTAGTTAGTGGCATAACAACCTGAGGATACTAACGTGCTTCCCGTGCAAACATATCCCTCATCCGCAGCCAGCTGTTTGGCACCGGCAGCGGGGCTGGCCCCGGCCCCGGCCCAGCAAACCCGTTAGCCCCGGAGCTGCGGCTGAGCCCATCCCCTCCAGACCCAGTGCTGCTGCTGCTCCTGGGCTTTAAATGATTTTCATGAGCAGCCAAACCTGCTCCCCCCTCAGCCCTGGCTCGCAAGCTTGCACAGAAGTCTTTTTTCTCCCCTTGTCTCAAATCCCTCTTTTAAGTCTGGAAAGTTTCGCTGCTCCCTGACATTTATAAAGATGTATTCTGAGCAAATGTTAGGAGATAGCTCCTTTCAACATCAGAAGGCTGGGACTACCCCCCGCCACCCCCACGTCAAATGGGAAGATTTCCTCCTGTCTTAAACAACAACAGAAAAACCCAATAAAAGCAAAAGCCGCTGCTCTCCCAAATCTGGCTTTATAGAGACATCTCCCCTTGACAATGTCATCTCTCTCCCTCTGCTTCTGCCTGTGCATGTGTGTTTCCTATAGACGGGTTTTGGATAATGCAGCAGGATTCTCTCCCTGGCTCTGATGAGGGTACCATGTGGAGGAGAGGTCATTAGCCATGCTGCTATTTGGTCTCCATCTCATACTCCAAAATATTACAGCTATGTTTTTATACAACTGCACACTCCCAGTGCTTCATTCCCTTCACTTTTCAGCTGGAAATTCGATTTTTTTTTTTCCAAGATTCCAGGGGGGAAAAAAAAAAAAAAAGAAAGAAAGAAGTAGCTTAAAGGGCATTTTAAACAAAGCTTCTGCACCTGTGATCTCAGGGGGAAGGGGGGCTTCACCCCAGTTTGAAGGCGCACCGCTCCCAGCGACCTGTGCCTGCTGGTTTGCGGGTGTTGCTCAAGCTCTGCCCGGGCTGTTTAATCTATTCATGACACTTCTGTCTCTGGCGATACAACCCAGCGATGCTGAAGTCTGACAATTTTAAGCTGAATCAAAACCTGCGATTTTTAGTAAGGTTTTGGTGTTGTTTTGTGGGTTTGGTTTTTGGTTTTTTTCCTCCCCCTTTTTAATTCTGCTTTACTTTTTGGATGAAGCAGTGTACGAAAACAACCCCGGACAAGAGAAACGAGGGCATCCACTGTGATTTTTAGAGTTGGGGGAGATGGGACCTAAAGCTACTTAAAAATAACCCTGCGGAATTCCTTGAAACCCCGGATACTCCCTGCCCCGCAACCCGAGTCCTCCGCACCTTATTTAGCAGCCCGGGGGTGGGGGGGACTCCCCCATCGGTCTCAGCTTTTTACAGCTAGGCGACTTTTGTCTCTTGGGGTTTAAACTGTTTC